CAGGCAGCGGAGTGCCCGCTCTCTCCGGGAATGGGGGCAGGGGCTTAGGCAAGGGCTGCGGAGGCAGCCGCTGCCCCAGCACAATGCCATCTCCTCCACTGACCACAGAGCAAGCCAAGCCTAAAATCACCCTGCACTCCGTCCTACGGGCTCAAATGAGGTCTGTGGCTTTAGAGTGTGGGGGTTTTTTCAAGCTACAGTGGATGAAAGGGACAGTCTGCTCTGATCCTGGGACAGGTTCTCCTCCAGAGACTACAGCATCCAGCCAGGACAAGCCACGACAGGTTTTGCCAGTAGTCTGCTCTGGGGACATCTTTGTCCAAAGCCATTCCCTACAAGGCCTTGGAAAACAAGTGGTGCAACGCTTCCCAGAAATCTTGCAAGGATAATCATTAGAGGATGTGTTTCCTACTGAATAGAGGCTGTTATGTCTATAGGAAATACGTGCCAAAGTCTTCCAGGGCATGCGCTGCAGCAAAGCCGCGCATCTGCCCAGCAGAATTCCGGGCCAGCTGTCAGGCAGCGGTGTGCTGAAGTGCCCGCCACTGTGCGGGCACACGCTGGAGGGTGAGAACAGGCTCAGGCCAGGGGAAGAAAAAGAGGCTGAATAGGAACATTTGTCATTTTCAACGTACAGGGTAAGATGTCCTTATATCTGTTCTTCTTGACGTTCTCTGGTTGCTCAGATGCTGCTGTCGGGTAGGTTTTATCCGATCTGTACTTTGTTGACTGCCTTTTCAGCTTCTGTGATAAAAGAACGGAACAAATTACAGTAGACGTGCTACGTACACTATGAGAGAGTGTGTGAAGGTCTCCAGGGGTCAGGTTTGCTACCACAAAGCAAGGTCTGCACGATTAATTCTTTCCTGAGTGGCTTTTCTCAAAGTACTCAGAGCAAGAACAGAGGCAGAAGCCACCGTCGAGCCGCAGCACAGGCTTCTGAAGAATGGAAAGTGGGCGCTGAGGCAGTGCCCACACGGGGCTGGGGCACGTAGGCTTCTCAAGCGAGGTGATGCATTTATACACCACACAAAGCATCGCCCTCACACGTGAGACGCAGGGGAATCATGCTCAGTATAATGGCACCCAGATAAGAGGAGCAACAGTGTTAAACCACCTTTAACAAAGGGTACTAGAAAAGACCCATAAATCTACTGACTTTTCTCCCTGCAGTAAAGACGTTCCCGCCTGTGGCTGCAAACAGCAGTGCTCAAGGAGCACAAGCAAGCGGAGCACAGTCGCTATGTGCACTGATGAAAGAGAGAGCAGGAGTCCTAGGGCAGACCCTGAGGGGTACGAATCTCTCTCTTTCATTTCCAGGATAAAGCTGCAGCAGTCCTGGAGAGTTCAAGCATCTTTTTCCTTCCAAAGCATAGAATTTTATTTCTCTGACAACAGCTTCTAAGTAACACACACTGTTACCATCAACTTCAAAAGCACCATTCTTGCTGCATTTTTTCTTTTGTAGTTTTATGTCTACCTAACCACTTTTCTTGCCACTGAGGGACGCTTTTGATTTGAAACAAAAGGCCATTGCTCTAGTGGCTCCGAGCTGCCTTACTGTGCCTCGACTGCCAGGCTGCTTGGGACAAGGCTGCGGATGAGAAAGCAAGCGAGAGCAGTGAGGATCAGATGCTGGCTCTGAGACTGCACGAACAGGAAAAGGGGACTTCAGCAAAACCCCTGTCATTTCCAGTAACACCACCACAATTTGCATGTGCAAATGCTTGTTCACACAGAGGGGAAGCATTAGGATGGAGAAATAGCATCGAGCATTTCTACTGGATTTGGAGATGCAAGCCATCACAGTCGCCCATCCTCGCCAAAGCGGCTGGCAGCTCAGGCCATCCTGGGAAGCTCTCCCCTCAGCACAAGAGGAAACGCAGCCTTGACCGCTTCTGTGCCATTTTGGCCAGAAAATTAACTGCACGTGGGGCTGCTGGAATGAGCCCATGCCTGGGGTTTTTTTCGGCAGCGGCCGCCGCACACGGCACTGTGCAGGCCCAGCACAGCAGCGCGAGGGGGAAATTCAGCAGCCTGCCACAGCACTTTGTTCCATGGAACAACAGCCACCGCAGACTCAGATTAATCACTTCCCTCTGACCCAGACAACTGGAAACCAAGCACTAAGCTTTTCCCAAGTGTTTGAAGTGCCAGCCTTCACTGCTATGACAAAGAAGGGCTGGATCTCGTGGGCACTGCTACGTAACCCCTGCACCTTACCCGGAGACCAGTGCCTGATGCAACCCTTGGCTGGGGGAGCAGCTCAGGGCCAGGGGTTATTCTGCTGTTTGAGACATCCCAGATCTTACAGATGTACCAGTTTTACCCTTCCCTGTGTCTGCTAACGCTGAGCAGTGCCTGTGCCTCTCAGGGCAGCCCGTGCAGTCTGCCAGAGCAACCTTCTTCCAGCCGACAGATCAGCGGCCGTTGCCAGCCATCAGCTTGAGCAGTGCATTGCCACCTGAGACTCCCCCTGGCCACCCAGACAAATAAAAGGTGTCAGAGAGCTCACAGATCGGGGCAGAGCACACACTTCAACCAGCTAGGCACTGCAGAATGCCAGGGACGGGGAGAGCCACCGGCATTTTTTGTTAGTTTTGCCTTTAGGGAACAGGACACGCGTTTCCAGGAGGGGCAGAAGTGCTGCAGGACGCAGAGCATGTGTGCTCTTGGCGAATGGATGCAGCCCCTCCACGTAACAGCGCAGCGCCGGAGAAATGGCCTGTCCAGCTGCTCAGCTTGCCCAGCCCTCGCACCAAGGTGCCCGGTGTCGATGAGAGACGGAACAGCCTTGGGTCCACAGCACACGTCTGAGCACCCGCTCCCGGCTCTGCAGGGGGTGCAGGGCTGGGGGGGCTTCCATTGGCGTGAAAAAAGGAAAAGCTCTCTCAGTACCAACCGGCGAACCTGTCGGGAACGCGTGTGTCAGAGCTACAACAGATTGCAGCGGGAGAGGGGGCAGTGGCTCCGTACTCCTCACCGTAGCCCCGGCTGTATCACCCGGCAAAGCGAAACTGTGCCTGACAAGTGCCTTCACAGCGTGCAAAACAGGAAGCACTGGGGTAATTATTTCAAAAGCAAACAGTTTACTGTGAGGGCCAACTATTGATTCTTCTGTCTTCACATTGCTTTTACCCCAGTTAACTCCTGCATCTCTGCTCCAAAGTTCATAGAAAACCTTATTGTCACATGCAAATCTTGTCCCTGTTGGAGAAGCGACTGAGCGGTTCCCTTTAAAATCAACCGAAACACAGAGCCCTGCCTTAAGAGAACTTACCAAAAACTCGTCCACAAACTCCTCTTGGTTGAGCTTCTTGCCTTGGGCCCTTTCCAGGTTTTGCAGCAGAATCTCCCTTTGGTCCATGTTGCCGGAGACAGCGTGACTGGCCTGCCGAACCTGGGGACGGACATGTCAAGTGCGCGCCGCAGCGGAAAGCACCAGCCTGGAGAGTGCTCGCGGCAGGCTGTGGTTTACTGACTTCATCACCAGCCTTAAAGGAAATTAGTACGTAGCAGATGTCATGGTCAAATAACAAAACAAAGCACAAAACCTGGGCCCTAGCGCCTCTTTTGAAAACTGCACACCCTGCGCCTCGCGGGAGGGGTTGGCAGGAGCAGGAGCTGAGCTGCAGGGTCCCTCGGGTGCTGTGGGTCTCCAGTGTGCCCAGCTGCTTCCCCAGTCAGATGCTGGAGAGCAGAGCCCAGCACCCCAACCTCTGACTTCTTTACCCCATGTCCAGCCATCACCAGCAGCACGGCCCGGCTGGATGCCAGCCAGAGCGACGAGCGTGGGGGCAGCAGCTGAGCACCCGTGCCCCGAGGCTGCGCTGCCAGGCTGCAGGCTCGGAATAGAAGGGTCCCTAAAACAGCATGCAGGATCCACAGTTCCCCTTCACACCTGCAACTTAGCCTGTTTCGCACATTCCTTGCAAAATACCTTGGAAGAATACTATCGGCAGAGGCCGAGCGCCTGGACCGGGCTTTGTCATGTTGCTCCCCTGAACTGCACAACCGCTTCTGAGCAGAGAAAAAGCATCAACAGGCTTCCTCCAGCCACAATTCCCCACATCTGTTGGCCTGTGCCAGAAGAGGGGGACAAATCTGATCCTAGACATGCAATTAATTGTGCCAGCCCCGTTCCCCTCACTCCCAGCAACGCTCACAGGGACGCTATAATCCCATAGGACGAAGCAGTCATTCCAAAGCGGGAAGGAGATGCAGAAAGTTCTCGCAGGCCATCCACTTCCTCTAAAAATAAAATAAACTGAGCCAAACCAAACTTTCTGCCTTCGACTCACCCGTGGGTAGCTCACCTGCTACAGCTGTTTGGCACAGGAGGCTGAAGCAAACTGTGGCACAGCCGCTGCCGAAAGCCTTGCTTCAGGGAGTGGAGAGAGAAAAGCCCCGTCTGAAAGAAGTTTTTTCCTCTCCGGATCCATGGTAGTGATCCGGTGCCTCCGTCCTGCAGCCTTGAGTTGAATGAATAAGTACTCCACAACAGCCAGGAACAATGCACGTTTTTATTAGGGAAATCAGAAACAAAACGTGAAACGCGCTGTTTAGCGGTGGGAGCGGTGCCTGAGCAGCGCGAGGAAGGCACACAGCAGTTACGGGTACAGCACCATCCTTAGCAGGAGCTAAGCATTACAGGAAATCAAGGGAGCCGCGAGGCTGGCCAGAGCGTAACTGCAAAAACCGCCCCGTAGCAGCGGGACATGCCGCGGTGCGAGGGCAGGGTGGCAGCACAGCCCACAAACTTACAGTCCCGTTGGAGTTACAAAGTCACAGGTGGTAAAAATTGGCATCAGCAACAATGTCATGCTTCCTGCCAACCAGGAATCCTTCCCTTAGAGGTGTGGGGGCCAAGGACTGACAGCTCGCTGCCACGGCTGGCGGCACCAGGCTGCGAAACGCGTCCCACGCAGCCCGCGCGCCCCATGCTCCCCTCCAGCAGCCCTGAGGGGATGTCAGAGCGGACAACTCACGCTTACAGTAACACACTTCAACTAGAAACGCACTTCTTTCTCTCCAAAACCACACGTGCCGTTTCCAGTGCGGACGATGTACCCCGTCCGCCCACCTGACGCAGCAGAGCTCTGCCCACCCGCAGGCGAGGCTCTACCAAAATCCGTCTGTCGCAGAACTAAAACCACGTAAAGGGCGGCAAGAACGCAACGCCGCGCTCTTCGCTGCCCCGTTCCTCTTAACGCGCGACACACAGCAGGGTGCTGGAGTCTCCCAGCTCTTTCAGGAATCAGTCACAGCTCACACAAAGAAACCTCCCCGAACACGCCCTGCCTCGTGCTCGTTTCTGGTTCCGTGGGTCACGTCAGTGCCTTGTGACGCTCACCACAGACGCCACCGCGCTGTGACTCAGGCGTGCGTTACCTTCTCCCTTCCCCAGCGCAGGGGGGGACGGGCTGTTCAGCTGCAGCAATCCCAAACCCACCAGCGGCAGCCATCCCACACCACACGCGGTGCCGAGACCCCAGGACAGGGCTGCTAACACTCCTCGGGTTCGAGTACAAAACCAGCATCGAGTACGGCAAAGGAAGCCAGAGAAACACACTTTTCCTGTGCCCTGAGCAAGCGTCCTACTGGGAGTAGAGACCAATCAGGACCCCAGCCCAGCAGCTGCCCCCAGGACCGTCCTTAACACGGAAATAAAGGTTTGCAGTGCCTCTGGCTTCGCCTCACTCTGCTTCAGTGAAACCTGCATCTCCGACCCCGCCGTCTCAAGCAAGAGCTCCGCTAGGAAGAGGCATCCTGCATCATCCTGTGCGCTGAGATACGCCTTCCACGGCTGGATGCCAGCTTTGCTCATAGCAATGGTCTGGACGTGCACGACGTGAAGAGCCGTGTGTACGGCGTCCGGATGAACAGCCCCACACCAGGGCAGAGAGAGGTGGCAGCTCATCTCCAAGCTCAGCCAGGTCTTCTCAAACTGTTCTGCAGTCAGGTAAACATCGGGAACTAAGGTCAGGCCGCTTGTATCGGGATGAACCTTGAGGACTTCTTCATTCCCTTCAGAAATCAGTGACTCTGAAATGAAACCACAGCCATGAGACGCAGCACGTAAAGGTGCAGCTCACGATTTCACAGAGAACATCTTAGGGAGCCATGGGATGATGAGGGCTGGGACCTTCAGCGGTGCTCAGCCGTGCACTGCACAAGACAGAATGCCCAGCATTCTCAAACACCATGATCTCTGTCCAAAGAAACCCACCGGTGAACATCTACTGGCAAGGGGAAAACGGGTCCCAGGGGAAGGGGAGGCGGGTTACCTGTGTCTCTGTTCCTGGAGTCAGTACACGGAGAACACGTGTAAGAGGGTTCTGCTGGCTGGTGAGCAGTGATCAGCGCCCAGCGTTCTCTGCCATAAACCGGTGCAAGAGTGTTAAACTCTGCAGCCCACGTGTTCACGGGCTGCTTCATCTGGTCTTCCAGGAGCCCCAGAGAGGGGTCAGACGTGGGGCTACACAGGACTCGTTTCACTTCTTCCACACCGGATTGCAAAAGGCGATAGTAGAACAATCCACGGTCTCGTACTGCCATGTCCATCTCCTCCTCTGGGAATTGGAGAGATACAATTTATGGAGTATTCCGCCATCCAGATTTCCCTGAAGCACCAACCCTTAATCACTACAAAGAGATTCTCGGGGATGCAGTGTAAGCCTCTTCGACTTACCAACCAGAGAGCCAGGGGCCAAGCAGCAGCTGGGGCATAAAGCCACCTTACCCTGCTGTCCTGGGCCGTCCCCTCACAGCCAGGATGCTGACACATGGCACCCGAGCACCGGGGACGCAGCCAAGCCAGGTCCCAAAAGGCTGTGCTACAGCTCCAGCGACACAGAACTGGTACTCACCGATGCAGTGATAGAGCAGCCTCCCCAGCATGTCCTGACACTCAGCAGGACGGGACAGGAAAAGCCGCACCAATGCTGTCAGAAGCTCCATCTTTACCGCTGGGAACATCTCGGATTTCACGTTCTCCACAAAGTCCTCCAAAACATAAGGGGCGTTCGGCACTTTCTCACCGTGTGCGCCCAGGAGCCAGATCAGCGCTCGCTTGCCCTGAGGGAACCACAGAACAAACAGCAGATAGGCGCTGCTCAGCAGAAAGACAGTGCTGGCACTACCAGCAGAGTCTTGTGAAGATTTCTGATCGCCAGCTGCGAGCCGAGGGAAAGCCAAGCACTGTCCACCCCGGGCACAAAACCCCCTTACCTCGCTGTCCTGGATGGCGTCCTCGCAGGTCGGCAGTACCTGACACACCGCGTCCGTGCACTGGGGACAGAGCCAGACCAGGTCCCGAAAAGCCCGAACCACCGCTGCAACGAGACACAGCGCTCAGCGCCCAAGAGTCATAAAACCACTCGGGAGTTAAAAAAAAAACCCTCAGAAAGTTGCACCAAGCCTAAAATAAAGCACTGACGCCTCTGGTTGTTCCCCTGGCTGTCATCTCTCCTCTGGACATTCCCCAGCCTTTGAAAAGACACTGACTCACAATGCTTCAGGTACACAAGGTTAGGATGACAAAAGAAAACTAACACCAGTTCAAAACAGGTCTCGTGAACTTTAGGTCCAAATGTTAAAGGCTCCGCTGCCCACTTACAGAACACCAGCAGCTTCCACGACCTCATTCCGCAGCTGAGTGCGAGCGTGTGATTTTCACAACTGGAAGCAAGAGGGGGCGGAAACAGCAAGGATGTAAGTTAGGCCAGAGAGCAGCAGAAGAGAGAGAGAAGCCTGGGTACAAGTGACTCAGCCTATTCTCTGGGGAACAGAAGTCACAAAGATTTAAAAGATCTGTTCATCATCTTGGCCCTCAAACAGTCACTGGAACGTCTCTGCCGCTTATCCCGGCAGGTGGCAACCAAACAGGGGTCTCGGCAGCGGACCCTGAACGCAGCTCTGACCATCTCCCCCTTCACCACACAGAGCAGTTCCCAAGGAAGGAAGGACCATGTCCGGTCACACTGTCCCCCATGCCTCCAGGAAGACTTTCTCCTGAAGGGGCCAATTAAATTCGAAGCCAAGTGCCTTTCAGAGCCCCGAGTTTGGGGTCACAAGCCCCAACAAGGCCACTTCCTGAAAGCACAAGCCAGGCAAGGTCACCTGAAGTGATGTGTTCCTGCTGCAGCCCCAGGAGCTCCGTCAGAATCCCCACGCACTGTTCTGTGTACGTCCGAGCAATGTTGCCTGCAGAGACACCGAAGGACACAGAAGTCAACCTTTTATCCGAGTGAAACGGGAACCACGAGCCCAACTGTTCATCACAGACTCAAGCCCAACTGTTCATCACAGGCTCACTGTAAAGAACCATCTCCCTGTCCCTGTACAGCTTCTGAGGGTGCAGCCCAATGAGCTCGGCCCCGCACAAGGGGTACGCTCCTCCCGGAAGCTGCGCCTCAGAACCTGTCTTAAACGTAGCAGGGAAGAAAGGCATCTTCGCATCCCTGGCTTTCCCCTTCTGAATGCTATGGAAACTCACCTATTTTGAGATTCACAAAACCAAAACAAGGCGCCCCAAACCACCTCAACTCTGCCCCCATCACAACTCAAAAGCACCAGAGCAGCTCCTCCACCACACGGTTTCATTCAACACCGTAAGGCCCGTCAACATGACGAAGCGACGCAGTTTCTTTAGAGCATCACATCAGAGTGTACACATCTGAATGAGACCCAGGGACACGGCGCACAACCCGAAACAGCTCAGTGCCAGCACTTCTGAAAGCACCAGCACCATCGTGGTTTACAAACGCACACAAAACACGCCTGGGAGGCTGGGGTAGAGGCTGCACGGCCTCAGCTCCCATCAGCCCTCTGGCAATTGCCCAGACACACTTCAGCAGAGGGAGGCACACCCCAAAGGTGTAGGGCGGCCGCTGCTCCCGTGGCAAGACGCAGCCCTTACCTATGGCAGAGATGGCCCCTTGGGCAAGCTCCACCGATATGTCGGTGCAATAGCTCTTCAGCTCCTCCAGCACTTGCTGTACGTTCTCGTCATTCACCAGCTCACACAACACCTCCATCTTCTGGCACTTGATGTAGTGGGGCTCTGAATACGAACAGAAGAACTTCTTGTAGTGGCTGCTGAAATGGCCGGGAAGGCTCCCAAGGATCTGACGCACGTGGCACAGCGCGGTGAAGCAGAGCTCCCGGCTCTCGGAGGTGCAGGCGGACAGCAGCGGGCCCTTCACTCTCACCAAAACATCTGTCTGCACATGCGGGTACTCCCTGGCCAGCACTAGGAAGAGCTTGGTGGCCGCCATCACAACGCTGGGGCTGCTGCTTTTGAGACAGCCATCCAGCAAATTGAGTATGTCGAAGAGCTCCTCCTCAGTGCGGGGTCTGTAACGCAGAAGGAAGGCGAGCACCTCGCTCTGCCCCCACTGATCCAGATCGGCCATCCTGCCCAGAGAATAAACACAGGCTGCAGTCAAGAAGCGCACGACGACCTGTGCTGTGCAGAGCAGAGGCCTCAGCCTCTGAGTTTCTTATGGCTGCCGTTCCAACCCAGAACATACCGGTCCCACAGATATATCCTGTGTAGTGTCACCAAAAGTCCCCAAAAAATTAACCACAATAAACTACCATTCCAAAACACACCACCAGCTGAAGCAAAGACTCCCTGGAAAAGCACGGCATCCCAGACTTCTCTTAAGACATTAGCATAAAAGCAATTGAGCTTCTCTTAGGATGGGCACCTCCATCTTTAGATGCCTGACTCTTCCCTCCAAGTCTGGCAGAAACACCCGCTCTGCTGGCACGCGGAACACAAGGGCGAGAATGAAGCTTCCAGCACCATCAACAACCCAGAAAACAAACCTGTTGAGGAGATGATGGGCGATGGGTTTGTTGATGACAACTCCTCCCTCCTTCTTCAAGATCTCCTCTAAGGCCCTCAGGCAGTTCACAACCACGATAGGATCCTGGTCACGAAGCAAACTGTACAGCTCGTTCACCAACGCGCCATCTGCAAAGCACAGAGCCCTGTACCAAATTCTGCCGGCACGCTGCAGCTCAGGCGCTGCCCGTGTTTGTCACGAGCAAAAGACGCAGCTTGCACTGGGGGAAGCCAACA